AAAATCACCCATTAAGGCATTTCTAGCACAATGACAGTTTCTCTCTGTCTCTCTCTCTCTCTCTCTCTCTCTCTCTCTTTAAAATAAAGGAGTTTAGTATTTTGCAAGCTATAATTTTTCTCTACTTTGCAAACATTTTCTCATTTAATCCTCCTAATAATCCATTTCACAGCAGCTAGAAATACACATTTATTGAGTGTTTACTATGCACCAGGCACTGTTCTAAGTGCATTAGTCATATTATTTCACTTAACCTGAATAAAAACGTAGGCAGTTTGATGTTGCTGTCCTGCCCCACAGAGAAGGAAACAGACGTTAAGAGGTTAAGTGATCTTCTGTGGTCACTCAGATGGTGACTAATGTGACTGAAGTCTTTGCTCTGTCCACCAGCGTCTCATGTTTCATTCTCTCCTTTTTGCAGCATTTCTGTCCTTCTCTTGCTGTCCTCACTTGGCTTCCCCATCATGTACTTAATGTAACTTAATTGTGTATATCAATTTCACTGAGATCTGAAGGGTAGGTCAGTACTTTTATAAGATTTATGCTCAATTTCTCCTTTTGTTTGATTTTCTCATAGCCAGTCTATCAACAAATCTGCCACCAATATTCCTCTTGTCTAGTCCATTCCATTTCCTCCACCCTATTCCACTCGGTAGACTTGCCTAGTGCCATCGAACTGCTCTCTCTGCTTCTATTTTATCCCTTTCAACCGATTTGTCAGAGTAGCTGGAGTGTATATCAATTCTTGTCAATCCCAGTGGCTTCTGATTGTCCTCAGACTGAAACCCAGCTCCAGGCTGATGGGGCCCTGTGTGAGCTGGCTCTGCCCTCTTTTCCAACGTCATTTTAGCTCATTCTCCTTACTTATCACTTTTTAGTCACCCTGGTCTTTTTGCAGTTCCTTGAACATTCCAGGCTTTCTTCATGTGGTACTCGGCCTATGTAGTTGTTTTTGTATGGGAAGCCTTTTCCCTCCACCCTTTAAGGTGGCCCTTTTCTTGTTTTCCAGTTCACCCTCTAAGATGTCACCTCCATTCAGAGTCCCTCCTTAACCTTTATATTCTTTACATGCCATGTCTGCTTCTTGTGTAATAGATGGATACATAAATAAATGATGAGTAGATCCACTAGAGAATGGGTATATAAAATGGATGATATTGAATAGATAAATAAGTGCAATGACTGCTAGATCCGTTGGAGACAAAAGCAAAAATACACACAATTACCAGAAAACAAGTCTAAGGTAATATGTCACAAATGTTTGCCAATGTGAACAGATTAAAAGCATGATGTGTGAGAGAAGCTAAAATAACAGAGAGAAGATCAACATAGGGACTTACTCAGAGATGATTTACTGGAGGTAGTGAGACTTTGCTGTGAAGTACTGCATGGTTTTGGATTGGCAGAAATTTTTATGGATAGAGGGAAGCTGTAAGAAATCTAACCTGATAGGATCTGAGAGGTTATGCTGGAGGGTAATAATAATAACTATATGGGGTCAGTTTGTGATGGACACAAATAGGGACATGTTCATATAGCAATTGTAAATTTATGTTAGTGATTGATTTTTTAAAAAGTATAGTAGGAATTTTGCAGTGTAATATTGCCATTGTTGCTCAAAGCTTTTTTGAATATTTCCTGTGAAATGGCCCAGAGTACAATATGCATTTTTTTCTTCAATTTTTTTTTCTCATTTATTTTGTCTAGCAAATATTTGCTCTTTTGGATTAATGTTATTTTTGAAAATAGACAAAAGTTATATAGAGCCAAACCCAGTGAATGAAATGGTGATATGCTATTACTAATATCGAGGGTCAAATTTAATATCTCACTCTACTGATATTAATATCTTTGTCTATAGCTAGTTTTCCATCTATCTGTCTGTCTATTCAATATGTCAATCTGCTTAATATGTCATTAGTATGCTCTGAAGGGTTTACAACTGAAGACATTTCAAGACTTAGTGAGGAAGTTCAGCATAACTTGAATTTGAATACAACTCCCAAGAAAGAAAAAAAATTCGTTTACAAACTTGGGGTCTGGTGGTTTCTTAAAAAAAAAAACAAAAAACTCTTCATTCTTTTTTTAAGCTCCATTTTTTACTTAGGTCATAAGATTCTAAACACTTATATTGCATGTAAATAGGCAGATTTTATAAAAGAAAAGTGACATTTTAAAGAATTGACTACATTGGTCTAGTCAGCACTTAAAGGATTTTTGTCCTTAAAGTCACAATACGGTGATTCTTTAGAAGGGAATCAATGCTGGCTTTGGGGTTCTAAAGGGAACAATAATACGTCTTGTAAAAATAAAGAATCCTTAACTAAATAATTTGTGTACAACTCTAAAGATAGTGCCTGGCATATGTGGTATATTTAGTAAACATTTGTTCGCTTTCCATTAATCTTGTTTTGAGAGTTCAGTATCCTCTATGGTTTTAATTTACCTTTATCAATGGTAAACTGCATGTTTTGAACAGGAGCAGGGATAAAGTTCAGTAACAGGGGTGTAAGTAAGGGAGAGCATCCAGATAAATAGCTAATGCATGTGGAGGCTTAATACCTAGGTGATGGGTTGAAAGGTGCAGCAAACCACCATGGCACACGTTTAACTATGTAACAAACCTGCACATCCTGCACATGTACCCTGGAACTGAAAATTAAATACATTAAAAAAAATAAGTTCAGTAACATTGTCTTTCATAGGAGATAGAAATTTTTGTTTCAGTTACTAGTGTTGCAAAAAGGTTGTTTGGATTTGGAAAATGAAACTATCCAGTTATGAAATTCATCCAGCACTGTTTCTAAATTATTTGGTTAGAGAATTGGTCAGATGTGCTTGAGTCATTTCCTGTGTGAAATACAATGCTCATACATGAGAGCAATTGGCTCTTTGGAAATTATAACTTCTTATGAAGTAATTCTCATATTTTGCTAGCTACGATTGAATCAGTCTGAGTCCAGTCTGAAGGGAGAAACCACACAGTAATGTGAACAGGCAAAGTTTAACATAAATAATTATGAACTATAACTGTATTGAAGTAATAGAGGATTATGTACTAAAAAGTAAAAATAATTCTAAAGAACATAGAAATAGCAGATATATGAAGCAGCCATCACTGTTAGACCTGAGAGAGAGCATGCAAGGCTGAGATCAAGGCCTTACTGGAGAAGGCAGTCGTAGGTGTGGTCACTGAATGGTGAAGTTGCTGTAGTGACAATGGAACTTGCTAGAAATGTTCCCCCTAGGGTGCCAGGGAAAGCTGTTCATAAGAGGTGTCACTTGAGACACTCCTCACAAAACTGTCTGAGGAGATGCCAGCAGGGTTGCTGGCCACTGAACACTGATGGCTGCCGTGCACTGCAAGAGCTTGCTGCTGCTGCTGGAGAAAGCCACATAGACTACAGGACCTGGATGGAAGAGAAGCCACCCACATTGCAGAAGCTGGCTAAGCAAGCATAGGAGAACAAGGAAGCAAAACCCAACCCTTTCTTCCTGCAATGTCTCTCCAATACCTCCCACTTGCAAAGCTTAATATCATGCCGGGAGTTAGGAAATATTTAAAGGGCCCAGATGCATTTTCAGAGGGCTGACAAAAAAGTTGAATTTGGAGATGAGAGTCAACAAATTGATAACTGGCACTGTTGTTTTCTGATATTGTAGGGACTAAAACTATTAACATGAATATTCACAGAAATTCCCCCTCTCCCTATTCCCATTTCTAAGGTATAAAAGCCATTTGAGGTTTGGGCATCCATCAAGTCTGGGATAATGAACAGAGTGAGGCAAGGAAATAAACATAGTAAAACCATATTGATTTACATTATAAAGGAAGCAATCAGGGAGACCTTGGGAGAAGAGGTCAAAGAGATAGAGAACACATGATGCTCTTTAGGAAGATAATTTTAAGGAGAAGTACACTAAGAAGTAATGTTCATGCTATACTGAATGGTTCTTTGGGAAATACAGAGTTAAAACAATTTCTTTAAAATATTGTATAATTTCTCTTTGGAATTTTTTCATTTGCATGTCAGGAATAAACTTTTAAATTGGTTTTATATTAATTTAGATGCTGCTGTTGCGTTTCGTGTAAATACAACTCCATGCTGAGAGAAGCCACAAGAAGGCCCAGATTCAACTGGGTTACACTGACCACAATATTTTAAAGCTTTTCCAGTCTATAACAGAACTTAATCTAGTATTTTGCGCTTACATATTTATTAAATCATTGGTTCCACATTTATTATTTTCAATTTAGCAGGACTTAATAATTCGACATGATGATCCTTCTGTCAGTTTCTGAGTGGTCATTATGAGGCTCAAAAATCTTTACTATTCTCCTTAGATCCTTATGTCCATCCTCCAATCTACCGCCCAACTCTAAGCAGACAGCCTAGTGTTCGATGCCAGGAGAATCAATTCCATCAGTCTTCTACTTTTGTTATCTCTACACTAAGCTGTTTCCTTCACTCATCTTTCTCCCCTGCTTCAGAAGTAGCAGCAGCAGCTACCCTTCTACCCAACCTTAATAGATTTCTGTGCTCTTGGTTTCATCCTCTTCCATCTCCCCAGGCATCTTGTGTCAACATTTAATTCTTCCTCTCCCTTTTTCGTCTTAAGTTTCTCCTTGTTTACCTACTCCAACTGCTCAGCTCACAAATAGGGCTTGAAACTTTGAACCTCTTTTCAAAATTTTATCCCCATCCCTGTCCCCCTTTTTTTTTTTTTAACAATGCCCATTTAAAGATGTAAAGTTATTACACACATTTCCTCACTTCCCAATTCATCCTTTGTTGAAGAATACCTACTAGGCTAACTTGATATGAGTCACTCTTCCATAGCCTAATCACACAGTTTAATCAAATTGAGCACTAATCATTGGATGCTGTGAACAAAGATGTACATGCCACCAACTCCCCATCACTTCATCTGCCACTCTGGCTTCAGAGCAAACTATGATTATCTGGGTATTCTTTTTCTCAGAATGGTTATGACCTTACCTGGGCCAGAAGATGACTCTACTGGAGTTGTTACTTAGTCCTTTGTCTAAAAGAATGTTGGGAAAATAGGGTCTCCAGGCATCTTTTTTAACAGGATGCATGTGATCAGGGCACAGGGATCTCACAGTTTTTCTCCCATCTTTAGCTCCATTCAGATAATCCTGACCTGTTCCAGAACTGTTAGATCAGAAGTTACCATTTTATTCGTTAGTTTATTTCGTTCTCAATCACATACATTGAAGTTGAATCTTATGGATATTAGCTCGACTTCTGTAGAATTACTTAGAAAAAGGAAGTTTGGTAGTATCTTCGAAATGAAACATTATTTTATCTACACACTGATGACACCGACAAAATTATCTTAAATTATATACTTTAAAGCAAGTATATTTTATTTTGAACATAGTCAAAATGACTTTTGCTTTTCTAAATGGTGATTATCATAACAATATTTATGATGTTAATCCATAAATCCATACAAGTATCTTTTATGGGTTGTCATGTGTTCCACATTTTTCTTATCCTTACAACATCTATCCTTGACATTGTCACCCCTAAGATGGAACAGTCCCGAAAAGGACTTTGAGAAATCTTCTAGACATTTCACAACCCAGTGTGATCTTCTTTATTCTCTTCCTGTTGAAAATAATCTCTCCTTCTCCTCTCTTATGGCATTAATCAGTGTCTTCCATATACTATTGATACATAAGAACATGGATAATCTCTGTAAGTAAATCCTGAAAGCAAGGTGGACAAGATCCTTATTATACTCACTATTCTCTGTGGCTAAAACACAGTTTCTTACAAATAGTAGACCTTAAAAATATCTGATAAATGAATTAAAAAGTTGGCCATTATTTAATGTATGTATCTTGTGCAGATAAATTTATTTTTACTACTTCCCTTCTCATCTCTTTTTTTATATGTTTTAATATGGGTAATTTTTTTAAATCATTTTCCTCTTACTTGATTTTGTTTCTATTTATTGTCTTTCTCCCTTCATTTTCTCTTCTTTTTCCTTTTTTACATGCAGCATATTTTACATGGAAGGCAACATTTTAAAATGTTTATTATAGTTTTTTTTTTTTTTTTGCAATTTATGTCAAAATAAACAAGTGATAAAAATAAAACACGGATATTATCCATTACATGCCTGTATTAAAGTATCTCATGTAACCCATACATATATACACCTACTATGTACCCACAAAATTTTTTTAAAAATACTAACCAATTGTGTATTACAAAGTTTATTGCATCTTAACTTATTTTTCTCTATGAGGTTAGTGGCTTTCAATAGACAGAATAAAACTAGTGTAATTAACCAGAAAAACATTAATGTTTTAGATGAAAAATTGGGATTCACTTGTCAAGAGAAATCTTCAGAAAATTATAGTAAATGGTAATACTGATCTCAGGTAGGCAAAGGAGTCCAAGATAACTCCAAATTGGTTGTTTTGACCATTTTAGTATTTTACAAATTCTCATAGCTTGATGAATTATAAGATCATTTCCATGGCCTGTTAGGGATGCAAAATGAAAGACCTAAACATCTGGCAGTCCATTGATCCTATGTGTCTACAATAAGACACAAGCTCATAAAGAAAAGCAGAAGCCAGGGTTTGAAAGAGACAGTTAAAATGAAAAAATGCTCATTTTTGGTTCAATACTGTTTTATATATGTAACTGAACTAACCACACATTTTTCTTCTTGTTGCTGCCCGTTTTTGAAGTTAGTATGGAAAAAACTAATATACTTCATATTTAAGTAGTGGCCCAAAGTTATTCTAGCAGCTATACGTTTAAGTATTACTTTCTAAAAATAGTCTTCCTATAGCCCCATCTAGCATCTGGGCTTTAACTTGGATTTAAAAGTTATGAACTAATAAATAAGGCTCAGCACATTTGACATCTCACTTTTAAGTGAGATGCTTATGGAATGATTGATTTCATATAAGAAGGATCTGGTATACTCTGTGTGAGAAAATTCTGAAAATTATAAAGTATATCTGCAATGCTTTTAAAAAATATTTTGTAACCTATGACTTGAGGAAAATGTTTAGGGATTTAAAAACAAATATAAGACAATCATCACTTGTGCTGGACAAAAATTACTGTTGACATGCTGCAACCTAATTTTTCTCTCTGTCTGTTTTTCATGCTGTGTATGACTGGCCAGTACAATAGCACTATTATATTTTCTTGAAGGTGAAGATAGGATCTTATCAAAATTCTGTCTTTAAAACAGACCTTGTTAAGTAACATAGTCACTTCATGAATAAGTATTGATATTATGTATCTTTTTGTTATGTCCATAGAAGAGCTGAACATTAAATTGTCCCCCAGACACACTGAATAGCATATTCATAGCAACCAGGTTTCATTAGAGATACTCCTTACTTTTTGGGATGAGTCTTTTGAGCTAACCATTGATGAATATGAGAGGATTCCAATCTTGTTTATGTTCTCCTTAAATGTTAAACGTAGATCTAAAATTCACTATGCTATGCCTACAGCTGAGGCTACTACAACTGCTGATACTCTTCTGGCAACTCCTGCTCTTACATTCTATACATTAAATCCTATGAGGTGACAACAACTAAATATGTTCCATGAAATATCCAATTTTTCATTATAGTCCCTCAAGGTTGATATTATTATAGCTCCCTATGGTCTCAAAGAAATTAAATGGCTTGCCCAAGTCACAAAGCCAGTGAGGATCCAAACTCAAGTTTGTCTCATTCTACACTGTGCCAATAAAAGGGCTGTTCTTATAAAATACATAAAATCATATACCTAGTAAGATTAACTAAGGAGAAATGCACAAACTGAAGAAGGCAGAAGTTTCGAATTAACTTCTTAAGTCTTAGAAGAAAATATAATAATTTTCTTGTTTATTGTTATGACTCACATAATTGTGAGCCAGATTTTGGAAGTGAGTATTTTATCATGCTCAGGAGGAGTGAGTGATACCTTCCATACATTTCTCTCTATTCCAGTTTTGAAAATGTGAACCATGCTAGATTCTGGGAAGTGACATTTGGGTTTTGTGTTTGAAGACCATAAAGGATATATGCTGAAGAGTTGGCAAAGAACAACTTCTAATCATGTGCAGAGGTACTCATTTAAGAAAGGATAAGGGAGACCAGAAAAGACTGTAGCAAGAGCATTTGGTAGAATGTATCAATAATGCCCAATAAGCAGTTTACTTTGGAGTTGTACAATGCTAATGTTTTATCACTCTCTTATTCTTCCCCATTGGCACATACATGTTTGAGTCCCTTAAATCTTAAAAGCAACAATGGTAAGAGAAACTCCAATCCTCTTAGGTTTTATGGTCAATTGAATTGAAAACACCAGAATTCTTTTCTCTAAGGCATAACACTCTGCTGCAGGGACTATTAGACTGCAGAGAGAATCTATAGCATTATTCACTTTCAACAATTACTTGTGACATGCACTAATTAATCACTCTTTGGAAAATCATTTCTTATTTATGTTTGTTTTGCCATAATCGATGACTTGCATTCAAGATATTTATGTAAACTCTAAGTTACTGTATTTTAATTTCATATGGTCTGAAATGATACCAAACCTTTAGGATTATGCTTTATATTTCTTTTCCTCCAGGTATGCCAATAATCTGTTGTCTTGAAAATGCTTGTTCTATAATTTCCTGATACTTTTGGGCCTTTTGAAACTGCTGAAGACACTTGACTCCAGACAGTGTACCTGTTCTATGAGATCCTTATAATTTCTTTTAACATACATGAGCTACATTTCAATATGTAATGTTCTGAGCATGTATTTAGTCCACGGTTGATATTACAAGTCATTGGACAAAGTCTTAAAATGAAAGCAGAAAGCAAGCCAGAAGCATGGACTATGAGGATGCTATAGTTGTAAGGGACTTTTGACATTATCTAATCCAACCACTCATTTTCCAGGGGAGAGAACACTGTGAACTAAGGTTGTTCAAAGTTACCTACTGGTTGAAGGTCTTTTTTTTTTTTTTTTTTTTTTTTTTT